CTCTGGTGGTTCTCCTCTCCCAGCTCTCTACTGTTTTAACTATGAGCTGGTGAGGGACTGGCTCTGCAGGAAGGCCTGGCTGGAGGAGGCCACGTTCATGATCAGCTTCACATCTGGGGCTATCTCCGGGACGGTGAGTTTGGGGCGCTGGGCTGTGCACTGCGCTGGGGCTCCATGGGGAGCCAAGGAAGGGGTTGGGATGGCTCTGGGAGGTGATGCAGGAGCAGAGCCCCAGCGTCACTGCTGTCCCCACAGGTGGCCGCGGTGCTGACACTGCCCTTTGACGTGGTGAAGACCCAGCGGCAGATAGAGCTGGGGCACAGCGAGGTGCGCCCAGGTGAGCAGCGGGGCCGTGGGCAACCAGGACCCCTCCTGGTGCACGTGGGGCAGCCCCGGCCTCTCACCCGCTCCCCTCCTCCAAACCTTCCTCCACGTGGCTCCTCTTGCAGCACATCCGCGCAGAGTCCGGCACCCGGGGGCTGTTTGCAGGTAAGGACATGGCCCCAGTCTGGGGTTTACTGGTGTCACCGGGGGCTGGTGGGGTTTCCTGGTGCTCTGGTGTCACGGGGGGTCTGTTGGGGTTGTCCCCGCAGGCTTCCTGCCCCGTGTCATTAAGGTGGCCCCTGCCTGCGCCATCATGATCAGCACCTATGAATTCGGCAAGACCTTCTTCCAGAAGCTGAATCAGGAGCGGCGGGGGGCGGCTGTCCGGTTCTCCGGTGGGATTGCCCAGCTCTGCTCCGGTGTCCCAGGGACAGCAGCAGCGGTGGCTCTGCAAAGCCCAAGTGCCTTCGTGCTGCTCCCCACTTCCCGCTGCTCGCACGTGGGGACAGACCCGGACCCCTTCCCCATCCCCAGTGCACGAGGGGACACCCATGCCTGCTGCTGCGACACCAGGGGCACGTGGAGTCCCCTGGGCTCATTCTGTGGCTCATCCCTGAGCCTGGACAGGTCGTGGTGGATGCTCAGGCGAGGATGAGGTGCCCCAAGGGACTCTGCAGAGCAGGAGATGGGAACTGGGGCTCTGTTGAGGACCAAACCCTCGGTGTTTCCCTGCCTCCCAGGCCCTGCTCCAGCCCCTCGCCACAGAAACGCACAGCTCTGCGTGGTGCAGGGACATGCTCCGGACCTCTCCTCCCACTCGGGGTGTCCCTGTCCCCTGCCAGCCTCTGGGCTCAGAGCCTGCGTGGGGACAGACCTCACTGCTGCTCTCAGGGGGCCAGTGGGTGTTGAGCACCCATCCCCTGTCCCCTTATCCCGAGGTTCTGCCCCAGCTTCTCCTGGGGATCCAGGGGGGTGTTATCTTATTTTCTTAAATAAAAGACAGTAATAGTTGTCTCTTAGCACGAAGATTTCTCTTCCTGTGCTCTGGGCCTGTGGAAGGAACCCCTACAGCTGCCAGCCGTGTTCCTGTGCCATGGGCACCGTCATCCTCCAGGTCCTTGCTGGGCTCTCCCTGGGTGATAAGGAGCCCCCAGGACCTCTGCTACCCACTGTTGATATGGGGTATGGGGGAGCACAACCTTAGGTGACCTGCTGTGGCCCAAAGATGCCCTCCCTGCCCTGGGGGGGACCTCAAGGGCTCTTTTCCCCACTTTCCCTCTCCAGGCTGGGGGATCTCAGAGGCTGGCTCAGTTGCTGCGTTTATTGATTCCTTTTGCTCCAACGAGGCGGATGGGGCTGCATTAAAAACCAAACTCGCCCCACCCAAGGCCCGGGGAGGATGGGAAGGGGCTTGGGGCCAGGGCTATCTCTGTGTGGGGATGTTGCTGCAAGGGGGAAGAGCTGGTCCCCAGAGAGGGGGACAGGCCAAGCCCCCTGCAGTGCCCAGGGGAGCCCAGACCGAGCAGGACCCTCACCCTGGAGAGGGTTTAGCCCTGATCCTCCTCCAGTGCTCCCTGTCAGTGGTCGCTCCCCATGTTCCCCACACACATTCACTCCTATTCCCAGCCCCAGCTCGCATCAGTCCCAGTCCAGCATCCCCCATCCCA